CACACAGACACACACAGACACACAGACACACACAAACACACAGACACACAAACACACAAAGATAGCTAGCTAGCTAGCTAGAGATAGACAGATAGATAGAGAAACATAGATAGATAGATAGATAGATAGATAGAGAAACAAAGATATATATACATACATATGTGAGAGCTAAATAGCTTGAAATAGATCTATACTAGTCTCACTTTATTTATTTATCAGCACAAATATAACACAAATATAACAAAGGCAACAGTAAAAATATTGGGTTTCTGTCGTGATGGACTCTTGTGATGAGCCGATTGACAGATAATGGAAGCAGTTAGCTTCATCCCATAATTGGGGCATACCACGGGTTGTGACACTAAATATATATACATATATATACACACACGTACGTACGTACGTACGTACGTACGTATGTATGTATAAAAACATGAAAAATGAATCCCCCCAACCATCTTTGGTGAGTAAAAATCTTAGGAACAATGGATGAGTTTAACCTGGTACTAAAAGAATCTCTTCAATTTTATGCATTAGCCCCCACAATATTTTTGCTTAAAGATAAGTCAAAGAACTTCAGGATTTTAGTCCAAAAGGAAATTTTAACAACGTTCTCAGAAGACAAAAAGATATAAAAATTGCCAAAAAGTTACTGAGGAATGAAGGAATGCTTGATTCAGGGAACCAAGTTAAAACTGAAAAAATATACAGGTGCCAGATCTGCTAGAAAACAAGCAGAACAGGTAAAACAGTACCTGCTAAAACAGGTACTGAAAAAGAGACCTCAGTGCAGGAAAATGTGAATAACATAGAACTCATTAATATTATGGTTCTAACATTAAGACTTAGTTGAGGAATCCAAAATATTTATTACACTAGGAAAAAATAACAAGGATGCCAAGGTTCACTCTGAAGCTTATGTTTTACATGTGTATTTGTGTTTTTCTACTGCTACTAAGGACTGATAGCAAACATATGCACTAAATACTTTGAATATCCCAAAATTCTGGACACAACTGGGCAGCTAAAAATTAGTGTGTATACAGTACTACTAGGTAGAAAACTGTAAAAGTGTGCAAGATATTTGGTATATATGTTTAGAAGGTTGAAGTGAAGGACTTAAATGTTGAATTAGTCCTCCTTATTTTTGTTCCCAGCCCTTCCAAACATAGATACAGATGGAGAAAATACAAGCCAGTAATAAAAATGAAGCACTCTGGCTACAGAAAGGTTAATCATAGGAAGATAATTTACATATGTAGTATAGATAAAAAAGCCATAGTCTTAGCAGGGATTCTCTTTATTGTCCATGTGATTGTTTCATTTAAAAAAAACAACAACAAATTGAGATAACTCTCCAGGATACTTATCTGTTATCTGTCCATGTTATAATCTTTTTGCTGGAACATAAATCCAACTGTTTATGTTAACACATTTTCAGATTTGATGCAAGTAAATAATGACAACTAGTTACTAATTGTCTATGACCATCTGATCTTCACAGCTGGGAAAATGCACATGCTCTTTTGGTCACCAATGCTTTCTCAATCAACATATACCACTGAAGCAATGCAGTAAATTGTGTGCGCTTTTCACGAAGTGAAGAAATGTTTTGATGAACAAGGTTCACTCTGAAGCTTATGTTTTACATGTGTATTTGTGTTTTTCTACTGCTATTAAGGACTGATAGCAAGCATATGCACTAAATACTTTGAATATCCCAAAATAGATTTGGAATGAGGTCCCAACAGGAGAACCTGTTCATGGAAGTTTAAACCACAAAAGATGCACTCTGGGCCTGTATTCTGTGTAGACATTTCCATTGCTCGTGCTCATTTTTAATCTTTGCCTTCTGCTTGTTCCCCTGTGCACATCTGTAATTACTATCATCCTGTCACTGATAGCAAAATTGGGATTTAGAATACAGTGGTAGTTTTGCATGCACAACAGTGCTTCCTACACTTTTAGTAACGAGCTTCTCTAGGGATGATATTTAAAGTAATCTCTGAAGAGCAAGTGTTTTGTTACTACTATCTGTTTGCTATCTTTTGCAAAGGTGTGATGCCATAATGGTCTTGTCACTTGAGCAGTGCAGTGTTACCTGCTCATTAGATTATTGATGGTTTTCTGGGGAATTGAGACAAACACGACTTCAAGAAGCTTTATTGCTGTAACAGAATCTGCCCTGGAGTAAAATCATCTACTTCCAGCTGGTTTTCAGCTCCACTCGTGTATAATTTTTCACCTGCTATTAAAATACTGAATGAAATAGGAATGCCTCTCAATCATTTCTTTATTCCTCCCCCCATTTTCCTCATGTTTGCTATTTTCAGCTCAGGAAGCAGCTGCTGAAACAATGAATATTTTATTTAAATCAACTAGAAAAAGGAGAGTAATTGAAGCAGGTGTCTTTCTTTTTCTTAGCAGGCAATATCTTATCACTATGTTCATCTGGATAAAGAAAACAAAATTAGCAGACTAGCATCCAATGAAAATGTTGGAAAGCAATTACTTAAATTTAAGTTTATGGGGAAATAGGGATGGCTTTTAAAAATACTGCAGTGAAGAGCTTCACACAATCTCACAGGATTTGATTTTCATTGTACTTTGACTTAAACTAGCTGCTTCTAGATTTGTGAATTAGGTGGTACCCAGCTTTTAGAAGCAGAATAGGAAAAACATTGTGCCAATGTATTATTACCAACCATAGATCTGAGCTAACCGCTCTGCTATTACATCATCAGTCTTGTGTTCCATTTGTGTTGGGCCTCTAAACTGGCAGCCAAAACAACCCTAATTTCAGTACCATGTTACTATTTTAGTTTTTTTCCTTCAAAAGAGCATAAAAGCTCTTGGTTGTCCTTATTTCTACTTATGCTAAACACATTCTGAAGACAAATGAGCTATGAGTTAACATTGTTCTTCCATATACTATGGAAGATGGAAGTTCTGGTATTAATGTTTGGCAAAGAATTGGATTTCATGACCAGGATTATATATATAGGTCAAGTAGGCTTATACAGTTTTAAACTATAAACAATAGCTTGCAAAACACAGTAGTTAGATTCACAAAACACACTAACCTAAAATAAAATGCATGATACTGTGACTTATATTGACTGGCGAACTTTTTCTTTTTCTCTCTTGAAATAATATCAGCTTATCATTTTTAGTGTTCCATTTGCAAACAGCTGCCATCAAACCTTGAAAAAAACTTTTTTTTGGCTAGGGGGTCAATGGCTTTATCAAATGAATATTTCTGCCATGATTCTCAATTTTTATTTTGAATACTACATTTATAATCTAATTGTGTCAAAATAAAACATGAAAAGATGAGATTATGGACACAACTCACCTTTCCAACCTGCTGGACATTTGCACTCGTAGCTCTCTACTCCACCACTACAAGAACCAATACCACATGGATTTGATTCACAATGATTATAGCTGTTTTGGCAATGGTCCCCTTCAAATTCACTGGGACATATACATAGATATTCCCCAACACCAGGAGGGAAGTTAATGTTGGTGATGCAAGTTCCACCATTCAAGCAGCCACAAGGCTTCACTGAAATCTATAAAAGGCAACAATGTCTTGTATTTAAGCATGCATTTTATTACTTTACAATAAGGCTACTTACTGAAGTTCCTATGAAATGATATATGTAAGAGTGATTTGTGGATTTATTCCCTGAAAGATATCAGGAAAAGTTCCCAATATTCATAGATGATAATGAGAAACAAAACACAGGGACGTGATAGAACTTTTAACAATCTTTATAACAATGTTATAGTGTTCTTCTGTTACTGGCTGTTAAGAGTCAATAAACAGAAAGTATCATGATATAAAGATGTTGTTGACTTTTAGACATCACAAAGGAAAAAGGACAAATTCTGCATTTGCCATTCTTAAAAGCAACTGGTTATTTAGCATAATGTATAGATTGGTCTTGACTGCTCAATGAATGTAACTCCTAGGGGCTTTGTTGCTAATACCTCCAGGTTCTGCATGAATTTTATATCTAGTGATCTGAGTTAACATTTATTTTATACAATTCCCTTAGCAATTATCCATGTTAGCCAGCCTCTTTTAGCTGTAAGTTTCTTCCTCCTGTGCATTTGCATTATTAGCAAATGCTACTGCAAAATTAATAGAATAGCTTGCTATAAGGACAAAGCAGGAAAGCATGGCCAAGAAACCAAGGTTACAGAGTAATGGTATAGGGGGGGGGGGGGTTACCTATAAAAATATTATTTCAAATGAATTATAATTTTCCCTTTATGGCTAAAACCTGGTCCTTTATGTCATGATGTGTTTTTCTTCAAAGATCCACATGCACACAGCAAATTTTAAAGCGGATTAATTAACCATTAACCAGCTTGGCAAAAAAATGGTCTTTCAGACAGCAATCGATGCAGACCTCTTTCTGATTCATTGAATATATGGGATTCACTTTCTCCAGGATATTCATTAGATTAATTCATCATTACTGTCATGAATGATACTATTCACTCACTTGAAAACACCTGGAGTCTTAGCTTTTTAAAGACAATAACACATTATTAACTATTATTGGAGTAACCAAGAACCAACAAACTAGTTTTTGAAGGATTGTAAAATCTCCGTAAAAAATGCAAGTAGAAAAAATAGGAACCATCTTTGGTGGGAAGGTAAAAGCGTTCCATGTGCCTTCAGCATTTAGTCATGTCGTCCACATGACCACGGAAATGCCTTCAGTGTTGGTGCTTTGGCTTTGAAATGGAGATGAGCGCAGCCCCCTAGAGTCAGGAATGATTAGCATGCATGTTTACCTTTACCTTACTTTAAGATCTCCTTCCTACCTGCACTGAATGTCTGCTTTGTGCATTGCATTCATCAGATACCGTGAATTCAAAACTCTTCTCTTCTCCAGAATGGACCTGCCAGATGAAAAGGCCAGCAGGAGAGAGGGAGGCTTCTGGAGGTCCAGTTTCTAAAGTAAAAAGCAGGGCTGATCTCTCAGGATCTACTGCTTGCAACTGATAAACAAAAGTTTCCCCTGCAAATGTTAGAAGCTGATTGGATGGGGCCAGAAACACAGGTGGCAGGTTGTCTAAATTAAACATAAAAAACAACCAAAATTAGAGGGGTATTACTTTAGGGAATACTGTTTTATTTAAGAAAAACTGTAAAAATTTTATTGCAAATGACAAGCAATTTAACAATTTGAGCTAGTAACTTGGAAGAACACCATCGATACTTAAGGGGTTAAACATATCTGATAAAATTAATACATTTACAGCTGTATTTTTTTATTCTCTCTCTCCCTTTTCTAATCAACAAAACCTTTAAAAAATCAGAATTGAAATGAGCCCTCAAGTGATTATATAATATGATGCAGAGAGTGGAAATGCATGAACAGGTTTTTATGGTGGGAGAAAACTTCTCATCTTATTTTCATATCGCAGAAAATGATTAACATCTGAATCTGAGTGTGATGGCTGAGGTGAATGTAAAGCGGCAGTTTAAAATACAACCAATGGAAGGCCAATTCTACAGTCAGAATCCTACCAGAACTTCAGTCAGTTTAAATCTACATTTTACATTGTGTTTTTCTGCTGGAAATGCACCATGTGAATAATTTTTTAAAAAAGAAAAATCTAAATAATTGTCCTGATAATAAATTAAAAGTTTGCTGAGTTGGGAAAAACAACTTCAATTTACTTATAATTAATTGATGAACATTATTATATTGTCAGAGGGACATGGTGGCTCAGTGGCTAAGATGCTGAACTTGTGGATTAGAAAGGTTGGCAGCTCGGCGGTTTGAATCCCTAGCGCCACATAACAGACTGAGCTCCTGTCCCAGCTTCTGCCTACCTAGCAGTTCGAAAGCATGTAAAACTGCAGTAGAAAAAATAGGGGCCACCTTTGGTGGGAAGGTAGCAGTGTTCTGTGCCCCTTCGGCATTTAGTAATGCTGGCCACATGACCACGGAGACATCTTCAGACAGCGCTGGCTCTTCGGTTTTGAAACCTAGAGTCAGGAACGACTAGCATGTATGTATGAGGGGAACCTTTACCTTTTATTATATTGTGTGGTTTTTGAAGTGGTACTTGTGATCAGTGGTGGATGTTGATTTTATATATTATGGTCAACTTTCAAAGATCAAGTCTTTTAGAGGAAAACAACCCATCAAGAAGTAAAACCAGAATCATATCTATCTCTGCCAACCAGCAACTCCATTTTACAAGGATTTCAGCTTAGCACGCTGTGATCCATCCAGGTCCTCACAGCCACCAGGAACCAATACAGCTGAATTCAAAGAAACTCTCTTAGCAATGGGGTGCTCTAGAGCTGCAGGAAACATCCTATCTCAAGATGAAGCATTGACCATCTCGGGTTCCAGTCAGCCATGTCCCTTCTGACCTATGCACATGCTTAACTAACAAATGGAATAGAACATGTTAGTAATGATCGTGTTTAGTTCATCAGATTCTGATGAAGCTAAAAAAGATTTCAGTTACAATGTAAAGTCACCACCATGGATTCTGCCAATGGAGGGGCAAGATTTTCATGTAACTGAGCAACTTTTTTCAAGAAAGTGTTATGCAAAATAACCATAATTACTTTATGGGCAATCATCTTCCCATAAAGGTATTCGTCACCCCAAAAGCAGCCATCCCACGTAAGAGAAATATAGGTGCTTTCTGTCCTAGATTTGAACTTGTACTTGCACTTTATCATTTTTCATCTTCCTACATTGGTTCTCTAGGCCCTGCTCATCCCTGACCCTGGCACTAAGAGTGACGATGAACTTAGAAGAGCAAATTTCTATGAAGGCCACACTGCTGACCTTATTCAACCATATTTTGACAATACATGCCAGTTTCTGCTGCTTACCCAGTACCTAGCTAGCACACTTTTATTACAGATGGACCTTTGTTTACCTTTAGCATTTTGAGATCAATCAGTCACCAGGATCAGTCCCTCCCCCCAAGGTTGGAAGTAGAGAGATTCCATTTTCCCATTTGAACAGGGAGTGTAGCCCAACATTTTTCTATCTATCAAGCTGCAAAAATAAGGAACCAAAAACTGCAGAATTCAGAAAGGTCAAATTTAGTATACAGAATAAATTCAGAGTCTTGGAACATAAAATAGGAATTTTTCAGACTTTCTCATTTATGGCTTTATAAGGTAGATCCTGTTTGAATACTTTGAAACATATTTTTCCACATTTCTAACTCATCCTGACCCTCAGGTAATTTGCTGTTTATGAGACAGGCTGTTTGCTGCCTTGCCTGCTGCCTTCTATTCCTTTCCCAGTTTCTTCATAGACTCTCAGAAGACTACATCTCTCTTGACCTATCAAAACTGAGCTCCTGACACTCTTCAGAATGATTGTGGGAGGATTGGAAAGAAACAGGAGAGTAGATATAAACAGGATAGAAAAGGTTAATCTACTGGCAACACAGCTAAGGTGGCAAGAAACCTGAGAAGCAGCATTCTGAATCAATTAAAGTGGTTGTCTTATTTAATTCACTATAAACATGGACATTCCTTATGTAGTTTCCAAAATTCTGTATTAATCATTTTAAAGATCAAGGAAGCAAGAATCACACAGAACTAAGACTGCATTAAATACTCTATGTTTTACTGAACTCTAGGTAGTTCTTCCTTCTTGTATCAGCAAGGCATAGACTGATGGATTAAGTACACTCACTAATCTCGAGTGGTTTCCATTTGCAATCTGGCAGTGCAACTCTGTGGATCTCCAGCTCTCTAATCATTTTTTCTTACTATCTATCACAAACCAATTAGGGGCTCCCATGTCACAAGGCAATTTTCTACACAGGCAATCCTCACTTAGCATCCAAAATTGGGAGTGGCAACTTGGCCCTGTGAGAATCAAGAAATATAGCCTATTTATCTATTAGATTCAATAAGTCCTATGGATGACAGAAGGCCCTGGAAGAAAAAGATATGAACCAAAGTTTTCAGCTAGGATGATTTCAAAATTTACCAGAAATATTTGTAATCCTGCTGAACCACTGCTAACTGTGAAATACGTCTTTTTGTAAAATATGCACTTGTATGGATTCATTTAAAACTACATTTAAAACTACATAGTCTATGTTCCAGGAGATCAAGGTGTCAACTTGTAAAAGCATTCCAGGCCTGCTTTCGAGTTGCCATAAGCAGGAGCAAGAGAAATGGATGGAATTGCTCGTCTGCCTCGCCTAAAGTACATTCCATACATGCCTTTCTCCAGATTGTACCCCTGGTTACCAGAGCAAGCAGGAGGGGTGTGGTTTCTACAGCCCACGAACATACTCCGTTGGAGAATATGATTAATGACACATCCAGGGAGGAGGGGGGAAATAGGGTCATAGGGGCCCATAAATTACATGGGGGCAGAGCTGACTCTGCTTGGGTACTTGCCGAAATGTTGCTCCTAATAAACGCCTGGATTTCTTTTGAAATTTGGCTCGAGGCACATGAATTAATTAGGGCATCCTTTGGAAACTTGACACAAGGAGGATGGCTGCTAAACTGTGGGTATATTAGAAATAGCCCTATTTGTCACTAAAGCCCAACACTTTTTGAGAAGAGGTCTGAAGGCTGGAATGCATTTTGCCTCTCTGGCAATAGAGCAATTACCAGAATAGAGTCTCATAATGGTTTTAAAAAAAATGAAAACCTCTATATAATGACAAGGTCTAAACTGCTTGGCTTTGCAGAAATCAGGATTGTCTTCTCCAGAAATAATAATTTTGTAGCCTGGATAAATATTAGAAATATACACTATCTACTTCTCTGAGTCAAGAATACACTCAATCACTTAAATGCATTTTTGTATCATAAATAACACCTGATTTTATAAGGCCCAAAGAACTTACTTTCATTGATAGACCAAGTAAATTTGGAAATTGATGGCTCACAAAAAAGACAAGAGCTGGTGAGACTGAGATCACCCTTTGCATAGCACAAGCCATCTATTTTGCACATATTTTCCTGCCAGAAAAAAAAGCAAAAATGAGCTGTTAGTCACTTGAAAGAGTATATCATATTTATTTCTAGCAATAGTCAATTCAATCCATTCCCAAGAGAAAAAGCTAAATAAATCTTCATTTTCTCCTTGAATGTTAAGCTGGTGAATGACATATATATGAATGGCCAATCAGTCCCTGGCCTAACTTCATGCCTATTGTCCATTCCTGGTTTTCCCTACCCAGGAACTGATTAGCTCCTGGGTTCCCAGTATTTTTGATTGATGGATTGATTTATCCTGCTTTTACTATTTTTACAAATAACCCAAGGCAATGAGCATGTCAGGTAAACATCTTCAAAATTCCTGTACATGGCTTGGAAGGGCCTTCCAATTCTATATGATTCTTCAGCCATCTTTCTTCTTCTTCTCTGAATTAGATGGCTAAAAGAAAAAAAGTTGAAGTTTTCATAAAAAATATACAATATTCTCATGATTTTCTTCCATTTATCTTTAAATAAAATTTAGTTTTATTTGGCTATAACATATTACTTAATTATATATTAATTACAAAATGTAGTATTTATCAAGTAATTCCTCTAAATTGGGGGGGGGGAGGTTGAAACATAAAAGCCATAGTATTGATATCTTTCTCTATTCAAAGTCCTTGATAAAGGGGGAAAAATCTTGTAAGTTTTGACAGCATTCAGGCACCTATTTATTTGCTTGCAAGGAGATCTAGATCACCCATCCCAAATGACTTCCAGCAGTTAACAGCAGTAGAAAATAATTGCTTCTGCTAGAATAAAAAACATGGTTGCTACTGACTTAAGTATCTCCAAATATATTGGATTTCCCATCATCCCTAGATAGTCTGGGGTAATAGGAGTTCTGATCTAACACAAGGTAGGGGAAATTCCAGCCTGCAGAGACGCATTTAAACAAACTAGTGGTTGGGATGGCAGAGAGGACTGTAATTCTTCAGTAGTATAACAATTGCTATGGACATTATGTTAGTTCAAATAATTATGACATGCTTTTAATTGAGAAATGATCCTTTGGATTCTTTACAGTTGTCTTCCTATGTTGTTATTTCCAGCAGGGGTGTAAAACTGGAAGCTCATGGCCTGTATGTGTCACATGCAGGCCGCACCCACCCAAGCTCTGCGAAGGGGAAGAATATTATAACACGTCACATGACAGTAACGTGATGCATATGTATGTATGTATGTATGTATGTATGTATGTATGCATGCATGCATGCATGTATTGTGTCACAACCCCTGGTATGCCCAAATATCAGCCCACCCCAGGAGACCATCCAGACAGAAAACCATTATTTTTACTGTTGCCTATATATAAGATTGAGATTGTCTTGGCAATGTTTCGGCAAGGTCTCATTCGCCATCCTCAGGCTGGTGTTTTCGGCTTAAGGGGTGGTCGAGCTGCCGTCTTTCTATAAATCTTGGTGGGTGTGTGTGGAGTGCTGGCGTTGTTTCAGTAAGTGGATTGATTGGCTGTGTGGCTGTATTATGATTGGTAGATTGGTGCTGATTGGTGCTGGCTGTGTGTCCATTGTTGTTTTGTGTTGTAACGGCCTGGGTGGTGGGTGGGGCTCGTTTGTTTACCAGGGCTGGTTTCCAGATGTCTAGCATTATAAGAAATGTCTAGCACTACTCCTGGAAACACCAAGCCTGAAGTAGTCTGAAGCAGCC